TATTTTGCGTGAAATATTGATGAACATTAATTTTTTTTAACAAACTATAATGTTTTACCTCTTTCTATTTTCTGTAGTATTTCCTATTAAATGTTTTAGCATTTGATTAAAGGTAATAATCTATGTAAGACGTTAATGAAATTTTTAAAAGTCTTAATCACCTTTTTAGAGTCTGCAATGAAACCGCACAGTTTAAACTTTGGTTTATCATTTGTATTTTTTTAAGTTTGGGAAATACTTTTTTATCTATAAGTTACTGCTTTTGGTATGTGACAAAGTTAATTTATTATGAGTGATATGGCCCACCACTAGTACATAAACATACAAAATATTTGGTTGCATAAAACTACCTATTTCTCTCTTCTTCGTGTGAAATTTCAATTAAACCTCGTAGAAAAGTCTTTTTTCGCTCTTTTCTCAGTCGGTGGCCCCCGCGCTCCTTGTTTGTTCGTTTCTTTTTTTTTCTATCGTTTGTTTGTCGTTTCGATGAGCGTCGTTGGTTAGCGGGTCGCGGAATAGGGGTTCTTGACGCACCGACGAAAGTGTAGACCGCAAGGGGATGGTTATAGCTCGGCGGGGCGCCAAAGCAGAGCTACACAGCCGAGCAACACCGCTGCTCTCTCACCTACTCTCGCGCCGGCCGGCGTACAGGTGCACGCGGCCACGTGGTCGACGACGTTGCCTTCCACAAAACCAGAGAGCAGGAGACAGTCCGGTATCTCTTCTTTAAATCATTTCGCTATGGTTTTGTACACGTATAAGGGACGAATGCTGGTGCAAACCGTCGAAATCCAGGCGTAATTAGCATCGGAACGATGGGGGAGGATTTTGTATGGATGGAAAAGAGATTCTTTTGGGTTTGGGACCGAACGTTGATTTTTCAATTAAAGAGATACCAGTAATTGTATGACAGGTTTTTTTTTTTTTTGGTATCCGGGGAATGTCGTCGAGAGAAAGGAAATTGCTAAATTACGGCACCTGTCGATCATGGTTAAAGAGGCGGAGTTGAGGAATTATCTTTTAATTTAATATTAAACAAAAATATTTTATTCTTAATTGAAGAATTTATTTGGCTTGTGAATTGTCATTCAGTTTTCTGCTTTCTGAGCTTTCTTCCTTGAAAAACTGGAATATGGAGAAAAAGAGAAGCCTTACATTTTATAAAATTAGCTGGAACTACGTAGGACATTTTACGTCAATCATTCATTTTGAATGTTTTTTACCAACCGTGCATGTTTATTTTTGCTTATTGTGATTTTACGTATAAATAAAATATGTACACGTATGTACAGTTGCGGAATTAAAATTTCGGCCAGTATTGTCATTTCATAATGTAAACTCTAAAATAACCTTTACATTAATAACCTCATTTTTTACTCTTGTCATGTTTATGTCATTTTGACTTAAAAAAATAGCGTCACCAACAGAAAAGATTAATTGTCAAATGTCAGTCATGATGACAGTAAAAGGTAGTTTACAGTGAACTTTTTGAAGTGACAGAAAAATACTGCCCGAAATTTTACATATTTACATTTGTACATATTTGCGAACTATGATTTACATTTTATTTTACAATTTTTAAGTTGACCTAATTCAAGAATTTTGGTGTTTGAGAGCTGAATTTATTAAGGATTGCATCACGATGCAACTACATAGGTACAGGTTTATCAAAAAGTATGGAACCAACTTTTTTTTGCGTAAATTATTTACTTTTTCAAAAATTATTTAATGTAGGTATTTTAAAATTTTAGATAATGTGATCATTTTTTTATGAATAAAATTTTTCAAAATATTTATTAGTTTTTGAGTTATGCAACATTTTTAATTTTTTATTCTTCGACACCGTCAAAATTTACGGTTTTTTTCTCGTGTAAGGAAGTTTTAACAACTGTTTGGGATTTCTCAGTACGAAAGGTCAAAATATTTTTAACAGATTTAAAGCAATTTAAAGCCTTGTTGAGTTTAATTCGAAGAATAAAATGTTGTGTTCAACTCGTCTTCGTGAAAATCGGTTCATTTATTCCACCTCTTCGAATAAATAAAACTATTTAATTTAACTTTTTATTTAGATGTGTCAAATATAAAAAATATAACTTGATATTTGTAAGCATACAGGGTGATTCTTAAATACACCGACAAAATTTTATCCTTGGTAGTATCAAATGAGTACATGCTGGAAAAAATATTTAAAAAATTCTTTGTTTAAACGTTCTCCAAATAAAATTTATTAAAGTTATTTTCGAAGTAAAGCGTACGCCACTGATGTGTTAGTACAGGTAGTTGAAACAATGGTATTAACGTAATGAAAATGTACTTGATCATAGCAACAATTCATAAACGCCGTAAGTGGCACGGATCAAGGGGGTTTTGCCCCTAAAAGGTATAAACTTAAAAAGGGGGTACCGTTTGTCTCCATTTATGCCTAAGAAGCTGTGATAACATTTTGTCGGGCTATTTAAGAATCACCCTGTATTTTAAGAAGTAGCTCATCAGTTTTTGAATAAAAAATGGTGACATGATTGTTCTGTTGAACCGTTCTCAAAATTACAAGTCTTTTAAATTAACTAAAGTGGATTTTTATATGTACTCTTTTTACACTAGATATACTAGATATAAACAGATGAAGGCATGTATGGTTTTTGAAAAGTGGCAAATATTTTGTAATGGGGCAAAACCTTATAAGTATGTTTTCTAGGGTTCTATAATTTTTATTGAGTTGTCGCTAATTTTTTGTACCGAGTTCTCAAAGGCATTATACGAATGTATCATATGTCAGGAAAAACCTAATCGTTCCGGTAGACTAATTTCAAGGTTATTCGAACCTCCCTGAATTCACTTGGTCGTGAACAGGAAAGAAACATCGGCCATAAACCATAATCGATCTAAGTTTTGAAAAAGAAGGAAAAAAGCTTTATTTTTGCGTCCTTATTCGATTTCCTCATCCGATAAACATACTTGCTTGGTGTACTGATTGATTTTTAAAGTTTTCTTAATTTTTTGCTCGCACTTAAAAACTTTTGCTCGACTTAACTTTGCACAGAGAAGCAAACTTTTATACGTACGATCCTGGAATACTTTATGACTTTAAAACTATTCGCTTAAAAATTGTAGCATTTTGGTCTGATAATTATTATTAACATAGAGTTTTCTTGTTGGCCTTGTGTCTCTTTTAGTTGAAAAAAATAGGTGAGAACAAACTGAAAAACACTTCCACAACGCAGCTCTGAAAAGTTGAATTGCTTTTATGTATCCGTGAAGTACAATTATTTTCAGAATATTCGCCCTGTAAGTATTTGGTGGGTCACTTTTTCACTAAATTCTTGGTTCTGTCTGACACATCACCGGGTCTTGAAATTTTTAGACATCGTGAGACCTAAACATTTCACGGAAATGAAACCACGACCCAAAATAACGCCTTTTGTTGGCTTTGCGATAGCGATTTGTTTGTTTTTTGTAGATGCATAACTGAACACGTTAGGTTATTACGAGTATATGGGTTAAGAGATTTGAAAATATGGTGGTCTTCGGATAGGTGCTACATGTGTTAGAAAAATTGCTTTCGCCAATGATGTAATACAATAAAATATGATTGTCGTAGAGGTTTGTAATCAATATTGTACCCTACATTCTCTCAATAAATCTTAAATCGCCATAAATTTGAAATGTGATACGCATAATAATATTTCTCACATTCATCTTCAACCTCATCTATTTTTCTTATCGGTTCTTATTTATACAGGGTGTTTCACATAACTTTACGAGGCTTGTGCCTAATGTACGCACCCAAATATACAAAAGTCACAGAACACTGGATACAAAAAATACACCTTTATTCAATTTTTGGAAACACATGACAGTAGTTGTCAGACTAATCACTGTTTCATTAATAGTCATAAACTACAGTTTTTCAGAAATGATTATCATTTGTTCTATCAAGAGACGGCATGAATATGATTCTAGTTTATCTATCTTAATCACTAACTAACTAAAAACGTTGTAATTTTTGAAAGGGTAAACAAACTAGAGAAAATTATCCAATTTTTCAAAATTTGTAATCGAGTTCGTATCGGAATATGTATTATTAATTGCATCTTACAGGCGCAAGCCTCGTAAAATTATGTGAAACACCGTGTATATCAATCCGGCAATAGAGCAATGGGGTGTTATTAGATATGACCAGAAAAATAAAACAACAGGGAAATTAGGTATTATATGTATTTACTATTATCTCAAAATGTTAAATGCAATTTTTTTGAATATGTATAGTATTAAAGATAGGTTTTTGTTTGATTGTTTGGGTTAATCAATATTTTTAAGTGTTGCGCCAAGGGCTTTTAAAATCTTCGTGTAAATTTCCAAAAAAAGTTTATGAGAGCCGCCTAAAGCTTGAATGCATAGTCGGGGGAGGCATGTTGATCCATATCCACCACAATTGCAGATATAGGGACCTGGCGGGGATCTCGGCAGCTACCACCACAGCTAACCCACGGTTTTTCTAATAATTACGACCAGTTACTATGGTAACCTCCTAGTGCAGCACAAAACGGGCTCATGCGCTCCCTGTTTGTACGACGAACGATTCCTTATTTTACCATGTAGGATAGGTACAGCTGATTACAGATAAAAGTCGAGAACTTTTGCTTTGTGAGTTAATTGGCATTCATCGAGGTCCATATTTATCGAACAATTTGTTGCTTTCAACAGCTTTTCGAAGTTTAGTAGTATTGAAGAGTTTTCATCAGTTGATGAAAAAAAGTTACAGCAAATTTTTTGCTGTGTTTTATGAGTAATGAATCAATTTTGGGATTCATTTTAGGGCATGTGAGTTTACTCTTCTGTTGGCACAATTAAACTCAATACGACGAACGCAATTAAAGGTAGCAAAAGTTCAGCGTTCGAGAGACGCCAAAATCATTGCTAATCTTAGATGTGGGCAGAATTGACCTCGAGATACGACAACCATCATCAAGGTTGTGTGTAAATCACATCGGTGATCAGGCAGACGCGATACGGTCTCTAGCAGTGACATCAACACATTGTAAAAATTCAATCTCGATCCGAGCAATCCGTCTTTTTGGAGATGTTTTTGCACATCGATTCGCGGATCGTACTTTTAACTGATGACCTCTCGTCGGAAAAAGGTAGTTCCCAAAATAAATAGTTTAATTAATTTGAGAGATGTGAAATTTTAACAATTATAAGGCAACAAGTAGATGCCGACAGAATGAACAAATTCGCATGTAATATGGGAAATGTGAGAGGCACAGAGAAGGAGAAGATTTGTAGGTATACATACACACATTTTGTGGAATACAATTGATTTTCAGGTTGTATTTTGTTTCTATTTCTAAATTAATTTCTTCCTATTGCACATGAAGCTTGTGCAACATGTTGGGTAACCACCACAGTCCATTCAAATTCAATCGGACTTGTGTATGAGGTGGTGACATCCAATGCAATTAACCCTTCGTTGTCTCAAGATTGGACCGGAAACCGCCTAAGTAAAATGTGGCTTTGTTGTAAGGGTGTAATAAGATTGTGATTGTTTATCTAATTTGAATTGTATAGCAAATCGCTTTTTTAAATCTCGAGTTTTCGTATAAGATATTACCTAAAAGAAGAATTAGTGTGAAATGCACAACACGTATTTTCTAACCTTAATTTAATTAGCGCTACGTTGGGAGATAACTGTTACATATGAATTTTGTTTTTGATTCATGTTAATTATAATAATGAGCAAATACAACACATTTTTGTTGCTACAAACATAATTATAACTGTTGCATTAAGTTCCACAAAACGACAATGATTTTACTATTATACTATTGGAAAAAGTTGACAACGAATAAAATAAACTTCTCGTTTACAATGACTATTGTTGTTTTCCGTTATTGTAATGAAACTTTATTGAACGTAATTTTGTTTTCTATGCGTTTACTAATATTTTTATCGTAGCGTAATCAAGAAATGAAGTTGTAATGTGGTATCAGCCGCACACAGAACTTTGTAGAGTCCTCTCACTAGACTCAAGACTTTCCGTTCGAAGTTACTTCCTCTATTACAGCCACTTTTCGGAACTTTGGCACTACTAAACCGAATAGTTGCTTCCGATCCGCCCTTTCGCTGAGGGCTATGTCGCATCCATGTTGCCATTTTATCGGCTTTGACACAATTTCCTTGATCGCAGGAGCTTCTTAAATCGATTGTTAATATTCTGTTTCTGATTGTGTATTAGAAACCGGTTCTGTATGGTAAATGAACTTTGTAAAATGTGAGACAAGAAACTATAGCGCTAAATAAATCCCCTGGTGAAGTAATAGACAGTCACGTGGTCGTGTACTTCTTTCAGCGAAGCGATATATTAGAATCTCGTTTAGGTAGAGCGAGGTTTCTTCTTGTTTTCATATCTTTCAGTGGGGGAGTATTTTCGTGTTGTAGTCGAAATTCTTGCGATATGAGAAATCTAGTCCGAACCCAGTTATATCAGGAGGTCACGACCCACGGTGTAAAAGTCAGACAAACTTTATACATATAAACTACCTGTCTCACAGACTGCACTCACTCTCCTCAAACTTTCTTACACCTGCTGCTATACGGGGTGATTTTAATAGTTATGCAGAAATTTTAGGAGGGGATAGTATAGAACAAAAGATACGAAAATAACTCAACTTGTTTTATGAATGTTTGTAGCTCCTGAGATATTGAGGATTTTAATTCTTAAACTAAAATTTGGCCCGCAGTCTTACACTTTACCCCAGAGTAGTGGGGCTCTGCGACAACAAACATTTTCCGACTCTAAAATGCATCTTCTCTTTCACAAAAACTATAAACATTCGGATAAGACTCGAAAATCACCCTGTAGTTGTAGATTCGTAAATTATTAACGAGGAAACTTCTCCAACTTTCTTAAAATTCATAAAGGTCAGGTTTGCTGAAAAAAGTTTCTTTTTCAGGTCTATTTCTTTTGTCATATTGCAAAGTTTTCTGTTATCACATTTTTTTCGATTGATGTCATACAAAAAAAGTAAGACTATTTCTTATCATTAGTACAACAGTTTCAAGGTAACCGCGTGTGTAATAATGATTTTGCGCGTTCAACCTGTATTGGATATTGAAACGTTTCTACTTCATACTCTAATCGTATAAATGCACCAAAACAACCCATAGGTGGTCTATAATTATTACCGACTGCGATACCTTGAAACAGTTAATGTACCGAGAACCAAAATGGCGATTGCTGAACTGAAAATCAAGCCAGCCATGTTAAAAGCTCATAAATTATGCAAAATCGAACAGAAATGACCAAGCTGACTTGCCTAGAACGATAATCTTTTCGAAATGGGCTGGAATTTTGTATTGACTTGATGTAATTTGACGTTTTTAAAAAATTCTGAACGTTTTTTAATGGTACTTTGACTTGGTATGCGGAACTCGACGCGATTATGCGTATATTTCAGTTGAAAATCGAATGTGGGAATATTAGATTTTTACAGAGAAGCAATACTTTAATATAAATACAGAATAATACAACCTATTGGAAAATGCGAATTTTCTTAAAGAGCATTTGCGAATTTTCTAAAAGGAGTATTGCATATTGTTAATTTTACAAGATGTGAGGACACCAATATTAAAATTTTATTAATAATGCTTATGAATCTTCTTTAAAGCGATTAATTTATATGTACTACTATCTATTACTCCGAATCCATTGGCTGTGAAGAGCTTTCTCATATTTTGTTCATTCTTCTTTATTAATTATTATTACATAACTTTATTTTTATTTAAATTGGGAAATTAGGAGAGGTAATCTCACATTTATTTACATTGGAGAATAAAATATAACGTAAAATGTCTTATTCCGCCATAATGAAATGATTTGTGTTTGCAGTTGGCACGTATTCAGCCCCAAAACTATTATTGTAAAGACAGATTGTGAAAATAATTTTTATGACAGAAGATTTTCTATCTTTCATTTTATAATAGATACTATAGTCTACCTATGCTTGTGTACACACCGACCTTAGTCGTTTATGTAAAAATAATGGAGATAGTTTGGGTATAGGTTGCAGTAACTGGAATTTAATAAAACATTTACACGAGCTTGGCTTGATGGTTAAAAATTATTTGGATATACAACCGTAAAATTCTGGGTTTTAACGTAAAATCCGGTCTCTGCTTTGAGTTTCTCAACACGGATTCGAGGAGCCGAGTCATTAGTCACTATAAGGATCATTAAACAAGAAATACGGCGATTTTTCGTTCATCCTCACACCTAGTATTCGTACTATCTTCTTGACGATCGTATGAAGTGGTGACGTGTTATTGAATTACATCCCATAACTGTATTAGCAGCGAACAATGGAGGTAGGCGCGTGTTCCGAGTTCCTTTGGGGTTAATGAATGGGGGTAAGGGTACTGAATTAGTCATGGGCGAGACTGACGTGAATGTGGATGAAATGATTTTAGCTGTGACGATTTTTCACCACAGGTCCCTCTTATCATGGATAAATATTTTCACTAGAGTATTTCCAATAACAGCGGTTTTTTCGTCTCTCCTAATTTTTATGGTGAATTGCGACAGATGGTACGCGGATGGAGGTTATCTTTGTTCTGATTTAGAGATAAAAATGTACAAGTGATCGGTGAATTTTAATTTGGTATTTCAATATAGAGCTATCAGATTGTATCAATCCATTTTTACTTGCTTGGGGAATTTTATTAAAATAACTTGATCTTGTAATCTTAGCGTATGGACACTAGCCCTATTTGATGTTTACGAATTGATATCAAAGGTTAATGTTACGTATTCCCCGATGTGTATTTCCGCTCTGAACTGTAATAAATAGTCATTATTTGTGGTGTGTCATGTAATAATAGTGAGATAATACAAGTTACACATGTTATAACACGATAATCATTAATCCCGGAGGAAGAACGTTGATAACATGAGTGATTTTTAAGTTTCAGAAAGGGGATTGTGTTAAAACGCCTAGGGATACACTTTATAATATGTCATTTAGTAAGCTACCACTTTGCTACTATCATTTCCAAGAGAGTAAGAAATGTATTAGTTATTCTATTTTGTTCCATTTGTCCAGGAAGTATTTGCTACATGATCGTAATTTTTGATTATTTCATATTTCAGACATTGAAGTGAAAAATAAGATGAAGTATAAACGTCGACATCTATTTTAAACTTTCGGTTGTAAGGAAATTGGCAAGCGTTTCAGGTTGATTATTTATATTTTTTAAAACACAACTGAGATATTTTTGACTGGCGTTGACTCGGATAGGTTACGAATTATTTTTCTTCTGACATAAATCTACAAGAATTTTCTTTTTCTTCTGCACGATAAAGCATTCGAAGAATGTGGTTCTAGTTATCATTTAGTATCTTGTACTCTCAACACTGAAGACCATTATATCTGATTTATACTAACACAATAACATCCTACTACCAATTTTCTGTTTTTGGTCATCTAATTTAGTGTTTCTGATACATTATAGGTTTTTCGTATTTTCTGATAAACAATTGGTTTTTGTGTAACTCTGCTTAACTATGTATTCTGGGTTTTGATTCATGAACTTTTTGTGTGATTATTATTTATGTGCAAATTATGATATTTTGATTGTTTACAATATATTCTGGTGGTAAAAGCTTTGTCATAGCAACACCCAAAACTGGTTTATGGTTTGTCTCGGTTTATATGATCTGGACATATCAATGGGAAAGTAATGATCCTTTTAAAAAGGTTTCAATACTTATTCAATAATTATTGTTATAGGTACTTACTTCTTTAAAAAAGCCGTTTAAAATCAATCTTTTTTTCTGGATTCTGTTCATAAAACGTTTCAAGAATTATTTGAAATATAAACACACTTTTTCTACACAAACGTGCTACTCGTTTTTAATGTTAATTTAATTACGTTTATAGAAAACATCAACTAGGTACATACGACATTTTATAAATAAAAACTCAATACCTATGTTTTGTTTGAGTATTTTACAACCGTTTTTATTCATACGAATATTGGCAACATTAGTTTAACAATTTCATTATGTTATTCCAAATGGCCGAATAAAAATTATCTCATGCTTCTATGAACTTTCATATTTTTGTTCGAAATCATTCGGTTATACATGAAAATTCGTTATCAAAAATTTTATGTACGGTTTGGTTAGATTATGTTTGTGCTATTTTTAATAATATATTTATTTGTTGTAAAAAAGTGATTTTTCATGAATTTTTGCCATTGAATTGTTTGTTACATTATAAAAATCTGACATCGGTCCACGTGTTTGGTCCGCATGAAAGATGATAATATCGTCGTGCACGCAGTGTGGAACCATAACGAACGAACGAACGACGACGTCGACGACGCCGACTAGAGCCCCTTTTTCCACGCGTTTCGTGGCCCCGAATTGATTTTGCCGCAATGGCAGTTCCCCTTTAAAGCTGTTTAGTTGGCGGTTCTACATGGGAACGCCAGTATTGAGGGTGTGCGAGGCGTTCCGAGGACTCGAATATCGTGCGAATTTTCATTTCTGTAATAATTCCTGCTTCAGTTCATGCTTGAATAAATTAATGTATTTTGTTTTAGTCTGTACACTGAATTTTCTCCACGTCGATATTTTACGATGGCCTATTTTTATAAGAATACAAAATTTTTATTTCGTGAGGTTCGAGCTGTGAAGGGGATTTTTTTTTGATGTCGATTTTGACGTTTACCCTTAGGGGAATTAGCTTAGATAGAAATTTTCAAATACAGGTTTATAGAAATAATATATCACGGTTTTATACTGTAGCCACATAAGATTTTACATACTA